TTACACTTACATTTAAAGAATAAGTATCATAAATGAATTAACATGTAGAACGATAAAATAAATATTCCACAGGGCTTCTGGACAAGATGGCAGAGTAGGTAAATGCTGTGCTTGCCTTCTCTCACAACCACATCAAAATTACAACCAAACCACAAAACAACCATCATTGAGAATCACCTGAAGTCTAGCTGAACTAAAACCCTATAACTAAAGACAAACAGAAGAAGCCATGTTGAGACCGGTAAGAGGGGCAGAGACAAGAACTCATTGGTTCCACATCCATGTGTGTCAGTTAAAACTTGGGTGGGATATTTCAACTGTGAAGGTCCCGCCTGAGAAGTGAGGGGTCCCAGCCCCACACCAGGCTCCCTAGCCGAGTTCCAGTGCCGAAAAGAAAAGTCCCCACAACTTACGGCTGTGAAAACCAGTGGAGATTGTGGCTAAGTAAGACAGAGGGCTGGTGGAGTCCTAGGCATTCATCTTAAAAGGCCCGAGCATAGACTTACTCACTGACAGACTCACACACTCTGAGCTTTAGCACTGGGGCAATAGCTTGACAGGCACCAGGAACATACAAAGAGGAACTAAATTGTCCGGCTTCAAAGCAAGGGCTGAAGGGGCAGCTTTCTCCCAGATATAAGTGCTGGCAAAGTCATTGTTTTTTGTTGAGCCTTCCCCTCAAGCAGCTTACAGGCACAGTCATATCTGAGTCTCCACACTGTTCCCTCTGCCCTGGCGATTTCCTGAGACCCCACCACATTTGACTTGTGATCCCACCCAAGCCACTTCCAGGGTCTTTTCCATATGAATAGCCTGTCTTGGCTAATGCTTTGGACTTTCCTAAAATCTCTAAAAGGCTCACAAACCCCAAACAAGCAGCATCTGGCCTTGATGTGCCCTATACCTCTTGCTAAGCAGCCCGAAGCTGGACTCTAGAGGTAGCCAGCCTTGTTTTGCAGTTTAGTCTCTCCCAGGCACCTCCAAGCTCAGCACAAGTAGCAATCATCTGCATATCATTTTGTAGCTCATACCATGTGGCCCCAGGCATGGAACAGGGGACAGATGACCTTGGCCTGCACTAGAGCCCCTCCCAAGAGGCTCTAGAGCCAACACATATGGTGATCAGCTTCAGACCACACCAAAGCACCACCCAACAACCTCCACAAAAAAATAACATACCCAAAGGGCAGATTCAGGAGGCACCAGAGCCCTGTTAAAGCGAATCCTGCTCCATAGGTTCAGCCCCTGCGCAATAGCTTCTCCACAGTAGTCCTAGCCAGTCCTCATAATCAATCAGCCTGATAGTCAATTCTTCCACTGATGTGCAAACAGCAACCAAAACTCAACTACAACAGGAGGACACACATAACCCATACAAGGGATACACCTATAGCACCTGACTTGGGTGAATAGGGAGATGTGCCACTGGGCCCCATAGGACACCTACTACATAAGGCCACCTTGCCAAGACTGAGAGACTTAGGAGCTCCACCTAATACATAGAAACAAACACAGGGAAGAAGCCAAAAGGGGGAAGCAAAGAAACATGTCCCAAATGAAAAAAAAAACAACAAAGTTCCAGAAAAATAATTAAACAAAATAGAGATAAGCAATCTACCAGATGCAGAGTTCAAAACACTAGTTATAAGGATACTCAATGATATCTGTGAGGACATCAACAAAGAGATAGAGGAAACATAAAAATGGAGATAGAAAACATAAAAAAGAACCTGTCAGAAATGAAGAATACAGTAACTGAAATGCAGAATACATTAGGGAGAATCAACAATAGATTAGATGAAGCAGGGAATCAAATCAATGATTTGGAAGATAAGGTATCAGAAAATACCCAATCAAAATAGCAACACAAAAAAAGAATTAAAAAAATGAAGATGGTTAAGGGGCCTCTAGGACAACATCAAGCAAAACAACATTCTCATCATAGGAGTAACAAAAAGAGAAGACACAGAGAGCAAGGAATTGAAAACCTATTTGAAGAAATCATGATGGAAAACTTCTCTAACCTGGAGAAGAAAATAGACACATGAGCTGAGAAAGCGGAGAGAGTCACAAACAAGATGAACCCAAAGAGGCCCATGCAAAGACACATCATAATGAAAATGCCAAAGGTTAAAGAGAAAGAGAGAATCTTAAAAACAGCCAGAGAAAAGCAGTTAGATACCTACATGGGAGCTCCCATAAGACTGTCAGCCAATTTCTCAGCAGAAGTTTTGCAGGCCAGAAGGAATTGACACGAAATATTCAAAGTGATGAAAAGCAAGGACCTACAACCAAGATTACTCTACCCAGCAAAGCTATCATTTAGAATCGAAAGCCAGATAAAGAGCTTCCCAGACAAGAAAAAAACTGAAGGAGCTCATCATCACCAAACCAGGATTAAAAGATATATTAAAGAGACTTCTTTAAGAAGCAAAAAAAAATCAAAAACATAAATAATAAAATGGCAATAACTATGTATCTATCAACAAGTACTCTAAATGTAAATGGATTAAATACTCCAACCAAAAGAAATAGGGTGGCTGAATGGATAAGAAAACAAGACCCTTATATATGCTGCCTACAAAAGATTCATTTCAGATCAAAAGACATAAACAGACTGAAAGTAAAGGAATGAAAAAAAAATGTTTCATGAAAATGGAAACAAAAGGAAACTGGGTAGCCATACTTATCCCAGACAAAATAGACTTTAAAACAAAAGCCTATAACAAGAGACAAAGGAAAACCCAGTAATCTCACTTATGGGTATTTATCCAAAGAAATCCAAGACACTACTTCGAAGGGACATGTGCATCCGCATGTTCACTGCAGCATTATTTACAACAGCCAACCTGTGTGTCCATCAATGGATGAGGATAAAGAAGTGGTGGTATATATATACAATGGAATATTACTCAGCCATAAAAAAAAAAAATGAAATCTTGCTATCTGCAACAATATGGATAGACCTAGAGGGTATTGTGCTGAATGGAGTAAATTAGACAGAAAAACAAATGTCATATGATTTCACTTACATGTAGAATCTAAAAAACAAAATAAATGAACAAAGAAAACAGAAACAAACTCATAGATATAGAGAACATGGGAGAAGTATTTGGGGACATGGGTGAAAAAGGGGAAAGGATTAAGAAGTATAAATTGGTAGTTACAAAATATTCATGGGGATATGAAGTATAGCATAGGGAATATAGTCAACAGTATTGTAATACCTATGTATGGTGTCAGACGAATACTAGATTTATCAAGGTGATTACTTTGTAAGTTATATAAATGTCTAATCACCATGTTGTATACCTGAAACTAATATAATATATGCTAACTGTAATTGAAAACTAAAAACTACTAAAATAAAATAAAATAAATATTTTACATAATTGCTTTTGGCACAACATGAGACTTAGACAAGAGTATTCACAAAAAATCTGAGAAACTTTGGCTTATGTCAGATGTCAAATATTTTGAGACAATTTTCTTGACTGGAGTTGTTATCTATAAAGTTGAAAATTTTGTGCATATAAACCTAAATTATGATGCCTTTCAGAAGAAGTTAACCTGTAGAAGTTGGTCAAATATGGAAATTGAAAGTGTACCTTCTTTATGTGTCAACTTCTGTAGTCAAATAAAATATCCTTAATGTATTATGGTTTTATAGAAACTACTTACATGAACGTGATCCTTACCTGAAATGTATATTTGAATCTTTTCCACTTATTAATGCCCCAGTTAAAATTAATTATTTAGATATATAGATTTTAAATATTCACTAATACTCATAAAATTTATATTAAATTATTTGCTACCCTGGAAATCTATCAAAGTAATATTTCCTTTTAAATGTATTGGAATAATTTATGTAACAATTAGATGAGTCAAAAAAGTAATAATACTGCATGTCACAAATTATTCATAAGGTCACCATTTCCATTGTATGGAAACAAAGTGATAAATATTTATCAAGGAAATTTATATTAGTCTACTTGGGAAAATTTTTTTCTCAGTCACAATGAGATATAACACAATTTAAAGAAAAGGGTTAAAATATTTTGTTTTGCATAAGGTCATTTATTATATCTATTTTTTAATGTTCAGATAACTTAATTTGAAAAATAAAGTACCCTGCTAGATCTCATAAGTCCTTAATTTAATCTATGCCATTTCTTAAACTCTATGGAAAGCTCTATAAAGATCTTGCTCATTTGCCTCCTAAGTGACATATGGACAGAGGGATTTCCACACTATTTTCAAACAAGGTATAAAAGATGCATGGTCAACAAAGGCTTATATTTTGTTATCACTGAGAGTTCTTTTGTCATCAGCAAGTTTTTTAGGCTCTAAATATGCCTTAGGTTTTGATTCATAAGTGAGCATGATGATACCCATCTCATACAGTTTTGAAGATGAAAGCTAATCCATTTCGCATTATAAGCAATCAATAAATGTTAGCGATGTGTTCTGCAAGGTCAGTAATGCTTTGACCTATCTGGAATTCCTTTAATCTGTTTCAAAAAATACACTAGAACTCTACATCTGGTTAAAAATTTGAAACCATCAAAATGTGTAATGTAAGGAATGCCATTATGGTAATTTGCTCTGTTTCTATTAAGCACATTAAGAAATCAGACTAGATTCTAAATCCACTAATAATAAAATAGGTGATCAAATCTAGGTAGTATATTAAATTCTATAGAGAGTATATGTGAAATTGGATATTTGAATTCCAGAACAGTGAAAAGAAAGTGGAAAAAATGAAGTCCCACTTTGTCTCTGAGAGAATTTTGAAAGGAAATCTATTTAGGTACCAAATAAAGTGGCAAATGAATTTAGCCATAAAAAAAAAGAAATATTTAAATGTGTTCTCAGCACAAGGGAAAAATAGCAGTGAGAGTTAGAATTTTGAGGTTAGGCAAGGCACAATGAAAATTATGTCGAAAGAAAAATAAATATTTTGAATATAAACACTAAAGAGCTCTATGACACACATCATCTTGTTTTATTTTACTCATAACCTCAGCAGTATCACTAAACTGGTTCACTTCACTGAGAAAAATTTTACCTTTTCGATCATGCGCTTAAAAGCATCTTTCACTTGTTTGTTTCTTAGTGTATAAATGAAGGGATTCAACATGGGGGCAACAGAAGTAATGAGAAGAGCTATTCCTTTATTTAAAGACACTCTCTCCTTTGCGGAGGGTTTCACATACATGAAGATGCAACTGCCATAAGAAATGGACACAACCACTATGTGAGAAGAACATGTAGAAAAAGCTTTCTTCCTCTGTTGAGAAGAAGGTATCTTCAGAATAGTTCTGATGATGTTTGTGTAGGAGAGGATCACTAATACTAGTGTAACCAAGAGAGTCAAAATGGCTGAAAGAAGCATCATTACTTCTACTTTATCTGTGTCTGTGCAAGAGAGCTGCAATACAGGAGAAACATCACAGAAGAAATGATCTACAGTGTTGGCTGCACAGAAATCTAGCTGGAGACCAATAAGGAGTGGTGGAAAAATTATTATAAAGCCAGCCAACCAAGAAGAAAAGACTAACAAGTTGCAGACTCTGACACTCATGATAGTCACATAATGCAGGGGTTTGCAGATGGCTACATAGCGGTCATAGGACATAGCAGCCAGAAGAAAAAATTCAGCTGCACCCAACAGAATAGTAAAAAACAGCTGTGCTGCACAACTGTTGTAAGAAATGGACTTATCACCTGTTGCCATGGTGACAAGAAATTTGGGAATGCATACAGTTGTGAAAGAGATTTCTAAAAATGAGAAATTTCGGAGGAAGAAATACATGGGCATCTTTAGGTGTGGATCTAGTAGAGTGAGAGTGATGATGGTTAGGTTCCCAGTGATACTCAACATATAGGTGAAAAAAAGGAGAAGAAAAATGACAACCTGCAATTGTGGATCATCAGTCAGTCCAAGAAGAATAAAGGCTGTCACTCTTGTGTGGTTTCTCATAGCTGACTTCTATTTTTAAAAAAAAGAAAAGAAAAGAAAGAAAGAAATGAGAATTATAGCGGAAAAAGCTGCATCAGGTAACTATTTTCTTGATCTTCCATCAACACATTGCTATCCATATCCAAACTCCTTCAATATTCTGCTAGTTAGCAGTAACAGTCTATAAAACTTCATTGATATAATTTTTAGTGAAATTTTTATTAACTAAATGGAATTTTTTTTCTCAAAGGTAATAACTCCAGGCATTTCAAAAGGATAACATATTACATTAATAATGTCATATAACAGTAAACACACACAAAAACAGAAAAATTATCATATTAACTATTATTACCTTCTGTATTTGCAATTTTTCCCAATCTATCTAGTTTACTTTAAATTATTTTACACCACCTGATGATCCATTCTTCTTTTTGTTTTAATTAAAAGAATCACTAATGTTTCTATTGATGAAAATATAAAATATGAGACTATCTACTTAGATCATAGATCTTAAAGTTACACAGGGCCTCAAGAGTCGGAAAAGCCATTTGCTTTACAGGAGGTAAAGTTTCGTTATCTTCATTTTACAGGAGAACAAGACTCATTCTTCTTTACCAAACATTACTCTTTTTAGTGGACTTCATAATGCTGTGGGTCAGATTTCAGCTGAGGACTCTCTGCTTCTTAAAATTAACATAAACTTGACCTAAATATCTGTAGCCCATGTACATTGGGAATTCAATACTTCACCAAAATTCTGAAAATCCAAGACTTAAATGCTCATAACCACTTTTAGTTTGCTTTCCCCATTTTTCCTGAGACTTGAATACTTTCATCTCATTCACCTTGGTTGTTTTTTTCTCTGATATATACTCCAGCAGTTATAAAATGTATCCTCATGCATGGTGCTTGTATTATTTATGTAAGCATGCTTTACTGAGTGTTTGCAGTGACAGAGGAGGGTTCTAGAAAACAAGCTATTTAAAAAGATAAAATGTTTGCTAGACATGCCTGGTAGCTTATTTTATTTCATTGCTCTGCATGTTTCCCCTGTTGCCATGGTAGCCTCTTCTCTCTTTTTCATGTTCAACCTTTTCTCTTTTGGGTCAGCACATGACAATTCAAAATTATGTTAACCTTTTCATTATTTCTTGTTTCTCTGTCTTATTCCAGAACGTGACTACACTCACATTTAACACCTCAAAAGTCTATCGCCAAATTTTTCTAAACACACAATGCAATATACATATGATGTATTACTGAATTGTACACTTGAAACCTATATGATTTTATTAACCTGTCACTCTAATAAATTTAATACATACATACATACATACATACATACATACATAAATGGACAATACTTTCCTTAAGAAAAATATTGTGTTATATGTTAAATTGTATTTTATCTTCATTGCATTTCATATATTCCAGTTCAGGTGTCCAAACAATATACAAATATTTCCAATGATTATTTAAGGGGAGCAAAATTTGTCACCCAAAAAGGTTTCTCTTTGGCATGAAGATTATTTTAGGCTGATTATTTTTAAGAAACAGAAGACTTAGGAAGTTTTTCTTTTTACCTCCCCCTTAACTACCTAAAAAGAATTCAGATTAAGGGCCTATTCCAGGAAGAAAGCTATTACCAGACAGTAACTACAAAGAATATGAGCTATGTGAGGTGGACCAGGGGAAACTTAGCAAGGTCTGTTTGCTCAGGCTTCCCTCTGTGTCCCTTTGTCTCTGCAGGGCATAGCAAACATTTATTTGCTACACGTTTTCTCTTCGCCTCTTTCTGGAAATAGTTTACCTTCCCTTTGAATTCCAAGCCCCCACCCCCTTCTCCTTAGCTCAGGATAGCATATAAACCTCAATTGCCTGACTGCCTATGGGCCTCATATTCTTATGGAGCCCCCGTACACATAAAATTAAATTCAGTTTTTCTCTGGTTAATCTGTCTCATGTTAATTTAATTTTTAGACCAGCCAGAAGAGCCTAGAATAGAGAAAAAAATTTTCCTCCCTTATATTATTATAAAACAACTAATTTTTTCCCTTTCTCTTTTACTTCACTCCCATCTTACTTTTTTTCCTTTCCTTTTCCATTCTCTTCAATGAATTATTTTTCTAAAAATTCTGGATATGTAAGTAAGAATCATATTCATTAGTGAGATTTTTGAAATTCAGGTTAGTCTATTTTTAAAGGAGAAAAGCATGCAAAAACATCAATCAACGATGATATGTTATATAGTGCCACAGTATAAAGTCAGAAGTGCTGTCTGGCCTAAATTTAAATGACAAAATCCTAAATAAATAAACAGATAGATAAATAGATAGATAGATAGATAGATAGATAGATAGATAGATAGATAGATAGATAGATAAATAACTATTGCAAACTATTTTTTTTCCTAATTCCATAATCAGTTCTTGCTGGATAATATTAAAATAGTCATTATTTCTAAGCACTCATATAGTCCCAGGGTTTCTGTAACTGCTTTGGAAATGTATAGATAAGAAGTAAGAGATTCCTTTATATGAAAATTAGGTAGTGCATGAAATGTTTAAATTCTATTGAATTCAATATGACAACTTAAATAATATAATAAAATAATTTACAAGTTCAGGAGTTACCCATTTTTTCAGGGTCATAATTCTCAATATTCATAATGATCATGTAAACTAAATTCATATGTTATTATAATTATCTAGAGACAACACATTCATGTAATAAAGAGCATTTCCATGATTCTGAATACTATCAAGGATATTTATTCAAAGCTTGATTCTTACCAAATAAAAGGTTCAAAGATTTCTGATTAAGATAGCACAATTGATTTCTTCAGTCTAACTTTCAAAACAGTCAGCTTTGTAAAACACTAGTTCTAACTTCATGCCATACTATTTCAATGAATTAAATAGGAATCAATTTTTTACAGCTTCATGAAAAAAAGTTATTATGATCAAAACAAAAACATAAATTTTTTCAAACCTTAATGTCTTTAGTAGCAGTTTCATTCCTGACCCTCTTCTTTTGATATGAGTCTCAGAACAAAGGCAATTTTTGAAGATTTCATAGCCATTATTTTTTTTTTTATTTTGCTTTAACCTATACTTTTATTTTGCATGCTCATCCAAAAGTACATTAGCTCCAGCAACACACACTCAGGATGTATAAGCTAAAAGATTTTATCATGACAGAAAACATCTAGTTTTATTTCTTTTCTTTTCATTATGTTTTTAAAACAGGCAATGCTCTCCAAATTATGTGATATTTAACTTGGAGCATATTTTCTGGATTACACACAAAATAAATACATTTATTTTTTTTTAAGTTTAGAAAGAATGGATAAAAAGAGATTTCAGATTCATTCTTTATTTTGAAATGTTTCTGTCCTGCATGAGAAGCCCAATTGTTTGTTTTGTAGTTTTTAAGATTACAAGTGTAATCCTTTTATACACTATGCTCCTTATCTCAAGGGGAATAATTGACTTAAAATTAAAAAGAAAAAAACTTTTCCCTGAAGACCATTGTACAGGGATGTTAAAAATATATGAAAAATTATTAAGTGGAAATAATTGTTATTTATAATCTGTAAACTCAAGTTTAAAAACAAGACAAAACACTTTTTTTCTGAGGCATATATGTTTTGTAAATCATAAGGAGTTTTAAGAAAACCTGTCACCTTATATGTCCATGACAAAAAAGAAAAATGAAATT